TGTGGTCCCATGGTGTGGTAGAGTTCTTCTTGGGCTTAAACATATGTTCTTAATCTTATACATGCAGTTACCGTGCATGAAGAGCTATGAGATGCTGTTCTGCCTGAGGAGCAGTTTGGTTAGCTTCTTGGGTGCAGTAGTGAGGTTGCAGGATGAGTCCAGGAATGACAGCTGTCTGAAGAGAAGTCACCTTAGCTCACTGTCATGCATCTGTTGACAATGAGGATGAAGAGACACCTGGAGTGTGCCAGGAGGATGGGTGCATGTGGGAAAATCCTAGGCAAACCAGGCATGTGGCCGCACTCTGTTTGGGTCATAACATTTTTACTTACTCTACTGTCACACTGAATGCATTACATAAATATGAAGAGTTCTCATCTTAAAGTAATTGTGAAGTAGAAAGGCTGTGTTTTATTTTAACAATTTTCTTATCTGGAAGCCCCTCTTAGGGTTCAAATTTATACATTTTTGAGACATGATCTTAGTGTGACATTTTATGTTAAGCTGGTGGAACTAATATACAAAGCTCAGAGAAATGGAAATATTCTGAAAAAGGGAAACTGATAATAAATCATTGCTCTGCTCTCTTTGAAATAACGTGCTTCCCCCCTCTTCCCTTTTAGCTTTTTTGTTTAATGCTAAAAAAGACTAATTTAAGTTTTAAATACAAGAGGTTGAAAGTAGCTTCAGGCTTCTTCAATTAAAAGTTTAAGTTGGCAGCTTCTTTGTCCTGGAAATGACTAAATCTCTTCTGAAATGGGTTGGGGTGCATGAGGACAGAGTTCCTTCGGATGTCATGTCCAGTGGCCAGTCCTAGGGCTGTGGCCTTCAGACCCAAAGGACAGTTTAAAAGGCGTTTATACCTACTTAACACTCTTTTTGACACTCTATTAAATGTGACAGTTTTCTTTTACATTAAATGGATGAAAGAAAAAAAGTACAGTCAATTTTTCCTGCTGTTTCCACAGTTTCAATTAGAGTCTATCCCTGTAGTTGCTCCATTGGCTGGGCTAGATGAGATTTCACTATTTGGGGGGATCACTTTAAGCTTTTTAAGACAGTAGTTTGTTATTTTATTTTATTTTTTTGGTAGTGGGGATCAAACTCGGGACCTTGTGCTTGCCAGGCAGGCGGTGGAACCACTGAGCTAAATCCCCAGCCCTAGTAGTTTGTTATTTTTAAAGCTTCAATGATTCATTATAAGATGCATCACCATCTGCAGAAAGCAATTCCTAAATTGCTTTACTTAACAAATCCAGAACTGCTAGCCTCTCCACAGCACAGAAATAGCAGTGGTTTGGAAAGAGATTACCTCCTGGGTTCAGGAAATCTCTTCTGAGACGTGTCCTGGCATCGAGGAAATCTCCATGTCAGAGGGAAATTTTAGTTTCATTTTTTAAAAGTTAGAATCATTTCAAGTTTTGTTTCATTGGTTTGAGCTATTTCCCAGATTCAAAAGTTCTATTTTGTGTTAACTAATGCACATGAATGGTCAAGTATTGTAAACTTTCCAGTACAAACTGAAAGAAAAATTTTGAAGCAACTTGAAATTATATTTGAAAAGATATATTGAAATACATTTGTTTCTCAGAATTTATTAAATCTTATGTTGAATTAATTTCTGAATTCATTTCTTTTAATGTTAATCCTCCCATGGTACATATATGCAAAATATTAGTCTACAACATGAAGATGTTATTTCCATTATTCATATAATATATTCACATTTTTGGCAAAGATTTTGTCTACCTTGAAGTGTAAAATGGGTAAGAAAAACATGGTTTATCTCAGTTTCATTTAAATATAATCAAGTAAAGAAGAAAAATATGTGGGCATGAGGAACAGAGTTGTACTTGTTTAATCACATATAAATGGAAGCCACTGATATCCTTAAGACCTCAAGTTTACCATTCTGTAAGATTCTTCAAGACAAGAAACAATTTATCTTAATACCATGTCAACACTTTCCAAAACCTGAGCTGGCGTCTTGTGCTAGAAAGCAGAAACACAACAGGAGTTTTAATTGAAAAGAACCTGCAGGTACTTTCACCTCCTGATATCTAAGATCAAGTTCCTGCTTTCTGGAAAGAACAAAACAGAGCTAATCTGGAAGTTGTTCAGGAGTTATTTATTCCCCAAAATATTGTTAGTGATGATCCCATTACTTCAAAAAATCCCTAGATATGAAGACCATCAAATATGAAATCGACTACTTAAGGTATACCTTGTGTTGTGCCCAGATTACGAAGTCCCAAAGACCACCAGGAGGCCATTTCTGATGTAAGCACACGAGAGTCATTTATTCAAGCTTAAGCAGGGACTCTCAATTGTCACCGACACAGCGGATGGAGATTGAGAGCCCCGAGTTCCAAATTAGCAGGGTTTTTATTGAGATTACAGCAAGCGTCGGTCATTAGCAGCCATATGATTGGTTAACATTTAGCAAGTATGAAGTGTAGAATTTTGATTGGCTAGGCTCATTGGGGGTTGAAGGGGATTACGTATAGGTTTTTACAAGAAAAATGGGGACAAAGGTTAGTCGTCTACTGTCACGTACTGATGGTCAGCAGACATCTTGACTAATGGTCATGACCACCTTGTGTGGATAGTCAGCAAGTTAACAGATTGTCCTATAGATAGTGGGCCCGGGACACTTGTTTCTAGAGCAAACAGATGGCTGAGTAATGAGCTTAGGAATCTTGAGTTACAGATCATGTCTTTTGTCCCAGATTAAGCACATTTAATCATTAATTTGAAAGAACAAAGGAGACTGCTCCATTTTGGACAAAATGGAGTCATTCTGGTCTCACATTAGCAAAATGGAGTCACTTTTGGTCTCACACTTGTCCTGTTACAAAATGTGTCACTCAAATCTCTGATAAATGGCATCATACAGATACTTCTCCTGGACACGCTGTAGCCAAAGGCAGACCTGTCATATTATGTTTGGTTTTGCACTCAGGAGCCCTTAAAGTGACTCAGAAGCCTCCACAAGGCACAAAGGAGCAGGCTGTCAACCCATCCTGCCATGTTCCCAGCTACTTTGCTTTTCTTTTTAGTCATCTATTCATCCACCCAAGAAACATTTCTGGAATCTCTCTGGCCAGATTCATGTTATACACTATAATCCCAGGGAATAAAATAGACATGGTCCATTTTGTGTTGCATTTTCAATCTGAAAGGGGTTATATAAGTTAAACAATACCAGAAGGACACAGCACAGGGCTTATTTTAAATGGGTGCTTGGGGAGAACTTTAGGTGGAGTTATAACTGAACTGAAAAGCGAGAAATTGGGCTGGGTGGAAAGGGGTGAGTGTTTCAAACAGGGAACAATGATAGGAACCAGATGTATGAATTCCATGTCAGAGGAGATCTGCCACGTTCCAGACCTGAAGCAGCTCCTTTTACTAGGAGTTTAGAAAAGAGAGATTTGCAAGAACAGGCAGAGGCTTGATCATGGTGTGATATCTGTGATTTTATGTCCAAATACTTTCAGCTTAAATAATTGCTAGGACTCTCATCCTCCACTGTTGACTAAGGCAATACTCTATGAAAAATTCCAAATTTATAGCACAGCATAGTGTTTACCTTTGTTCAGAGGACTGATAAGCTGGTAAGCAATGCAGTACTCCCTAGCATAAGCAGTGGCTTCCTATCACACTTACAGCATCCAGTTTCCTTTGGAAGGCCCCTGGGGCCTGCCCTGATCTGGCCCCCACTTCACTTTATGCTCACTTGACCCACGTGTCCTTGTGCACCACATCACACCCTCCCAGGCCAGTTGGACCACAGTTCTCTGAGAACACAGCCTCACTGTACTCCACCAGCTTCTCTCCTCAGGCAGAGTGCCACTAATTTTTGCTATGGACTCAGCACTTTGGTGAGGCCCCTTCCACCTTATACAAACAGTCTGAAAGCCAGTGAAGTCAGTGCCCCGTGGAGCAGCCTTCAGTGATGGCTGGACACCAGCACATACATGCTCTTCCTTTCCTCATTCTTCCTTGGAGCCAGCTGACTATGGATTGAAACCTCTACAAACTGCACTAAATAAACCTTTTCCCCTTTAACTTTGGATGTTGGGTATTTTAACTCAGCAGTGAGAGAAAAATAACTAAGACAATGTCCTAATCTGGATTTTGGTTACATGGGAGTATACATATGTAAAGATTCATGAGCAGCAGTTCACAGTCACATTCTTTATTGTATGTAAGTCATCCTTAAATACTTTATTTAAAAAATCTAGTTTTATTTTGGTGAGTGAAAATAGAAATCAATCCTGTAAATTTTAAGAATATAAAAGATTTCTTCATGTCAAACTTATTTTTCAGATGGTTTGTCAAATCTTGATTTTTGGAACTTTAAGTAGCCCAATCAGGAATACTTTGAATACACTTTAACATTTAAGTTAATGTAAGAATATTCTTTTTACATGAATAAAGAGTTAATAAATATTCTTTATTAATATAATGAAAGAGCAAACAGTCCTGAACATATATATATGTATATATATGACTTTTGTTAGTAGAGATCAGATATTAATTCAAAATACTTTATCAATAATCATGAAAATAATATATTTTAAAGTCCTTTTACATTTGTTCCATGAAGAAATATTATAACAAGTATGTTGAACACTTCCATTTTTATTAAATTTGTATTTGCCTATTTCATTTGGCCCTCACGCTATGTTACATGGCTAAATTAACACCAATTTATGTGTAACTTCTTAGTGGAAACCTAATATCCTCCAATATCTTATTCAGGAACTATATGTTTTGTAAATAGGAATTAAGTTTTTTTAGTAGTACACAGATAAAGCTCTTATTCCACAAAGGACTGAAAGTCTAGGAATATTCAAAAGCATCAGGCTGGACTGTGATTTCTAGCCCTGTGGGCTGTGTTTGTGGGCTGTGTTGAGAAGCGGAGTGCTCTCCAGTCTAAAAATGCTGCCCAGTGTCTCATTGCTGCTCATGAAAATCTGTCCTCTCTTATTTTTTAGGTAGAGAATCCAACATTCTTATCAGGCCTGAAGGACTACTTCAGTGCCATGTTCTTAATGACACCAGTGGACAGAGGTAATTTCTTTCTTTCTTTGTTTTTTATCAGTGCCTTTTACTTATCCTTCAGGCTTCAATAAATATGTATGAAACTCTGACATGGATCAAGTATGAGTTGGCTTTTAGAATAGAAAAGCAAGACTTTATCTTACCATGTGTTATGGTTTATGTCTAGATGTCCTCCCAAAGACTTAGATACTCATAGGTGGAGCTTTTGGGAGGTAGATGGATCATGGGTATGTGAAACTGGATTATGGGTGTGTGATAAGTAGATTAGCCTACTTATTGGTTAGCATGGTTCTGGGTGTGGATAATGAGAAGCCCTACCCTGGGTGTGGGTGACAAGCAACCAGTAGGCTTATAGCCTAAATGGAATAAAAAGGGAAAAGAAGGCTCACTGCTGGCTGCTTCCTGCTTGCCATGCTATAGACTCTCTTCTGTGATGTCCCGCTGCCCTGCTGCCCTGCCTTGAAGCCAGCTAACTATAGACTGAAACCTCTACAAACTGTGAGATAAAATAAATCTTTCTTCTTTAACTTGTGGGTGTTAGGTATTTTATACTAGCAACCAGAAAGTAACTAAGACACCAAGATTTCAGCTAAATTGGTAGTTCTTAAAATTAGTTTTGTATGAGAATTGCTATGGAAACATTTACTCTTTTCTTATGGCATTTTTTTTTTTTTTTGCATTTTTGAAAAATGTCAGCATTCAGTTTTGTAGCATTTGATCCAACACTTTTGAGGGCATTAAGCTACAGAAAGTGTCAAAATACAAATCCAATGGTCTCACCCTGAAGTCATTGAAAGCAGTAGTGGGCATGCAAGAACTAGGCATTTTACCAAGTTCCTCGATGAATGTATTACACAACTTTGGTAGGCCAGTTTCTACGTATCTGAGACATTTCTACTGCAATAACCTGACCCAATTTGAGACTGAAAAGAGAATCTTTGTAAGTTGAGTGTCTCCAACTGGTTTAGATTGCATTTGGTATAGTTGTACCCCTGGAAGGAATATTCTTCTTCCAATGTGAATGTTGTATTCTTAATATCAAATAAACATTTGTTGTATGGCAGTCTTTCAGTAATTCAGCCTCAGTGATATTCTGACTGAACATCTATGGCATGACTTCATAGACCTACAAGGGAACTTAAAAGTTGGGATCTGAGATTCCTAGTGTCTACAATAAAGAGGGGAGACTTGATACTCAATGCTCTTTGTCATGCTCTGACTTACCAGTGTCCACATACTCTGTTAAGTTTTACATTAAGTAAAAGTAAACAGTATTTTATCTTCTGGCTTGAGTAATATGAAGTTTATCTTAAAGCTGTTTTATTTCAATAAAATGGAGCTTAGAAATTCAAGAAGCACTGAATTTTCTTTTGAGTACATTTTCAGGATTAAAAGTGATACAATTTAAGTTTATATTTTAAGAGTTACAATCTACAAAACAAGATCAATTCTCAGCTTTCTAGGTTAGATAATGTAAAATCAAGTTGCAGTTGGAAATGTCATAGCCTTTACTGTTTAAACAAAAGGAGAAACATTGTATATGTGTGGCTGCACTATGAAAAATGATATTATTACTTTTGATCATTTTGTTAAGTATTTGGAAGATTGCAGGAAGAAGTAATGTTAGGCAAGTTTCAGCCTAGTGTGATTTCCAAATAAGAAATTCGTTAGGGAATTTGGTAAAAAGGCAATAACAAGATGGTGAGGAGCTAAAGAAGTAAGCCTCAGCTTTGAATTTTTTTAGTCCATTATCTTTATGGTTGTTCTCTAACACTTCAGTCTGTATACTGACCTTTTATTCTAACTGCCACCTTAACTATGCCTATCACACATTTTTGGGAGATGGCTATAAATTATGAAAGGTTGAAAGTGCCCCCAAAAGTGTTAAATCAAAAATTTATAAAATTGAATGTTGACATTTTTCAAAAGTGCACAAGTACAATAAGAAGTTTCAGAATGAACGTTACCATAGGGGGGAAGCTGTACGTGGGGAATGAATTCTGAATATGGAAAGTGAAGCAACTTTTATATGTGACACAAAAAGTTTTTTTTCTTATATTTGCTCATAGAATGTAATTAAGTATTTAATAGCTCTTACTCTCCCTCCAATCAGACATCAGCAGGGCAAGAAGGTCAAGACACTGACTGGCCCATTTATTATAATAAAATGCAAACCACTGACGTAAATCTGCAGGCCCAAACACCAGAGAGATTGCTGTAAAGTTCAAATATATCTATTAAGCCATCAAAACTGAGCGGGCATAAGTAAGAGGGAAATACAAGGCGTTTTGATGAAAATAGAACTAGCATGTTTGATTGTGTAATATATATGATGATGTATTCTACTTAAAATTTAGATAGCATGTTTTCCCACAATCTCAAGGGTTTCATTTTGCATAAGTTGTTAAGTCAGCCACAAGAGTATCCAGCTACTATAGTGTGACGTGTACTGTAGTGTTAATTCTTGCATAGTATAAGAAAAATGGAGCCATAATCATTGAATCAGCACTTTGTATTTCATGAGACATAAAATAATCATTCATTACACCTGTTTTATTTTAGAGATAAGGGAACTGAGAACTGTGACATTGTCACAGCAAGTGAGCAGAAGTGGATCCTCTGTGAATAAAAGCAGTCACTTTAGGACATAACTAGTGAAACTGTCCCAATCGTCCTGGGACTCCACATACTTTACGGCTATTTGTAAGATTAATGTTGTGTTCTATCTCTTCAGATCTTAATTGTATTCTGCTCTCAGTCTGCATAACATCTTTCTATAAGATATATCTACTAACAAACTCATTGCTTACAGAGTAAAATATAGTCTCCCCTTCTTTTCCCTGTTCACCTGAGCTTCCTCTACTAATCTAAACTCAGCACCTCCTTCTTCCTTCAGTGACACTTTGGACCATGCACACTTCCCTCCACCCACCCACATGGCTGGGTCTTTTATTTCTTTGTTTGTTTTAGCTGAGCTCTTCCTCTGCTTATACCTCACTCCCAAATCTTTCTGTTCTTTACATAGACAAGTCTTATTCAATCTTCAGGAGTGAGATTTGCTATCATCCTTCTCAGATGCCTTTTATAAACTTGACAGACTTCCTACAAAGTTGAGCTGAAGGTTTCTCTCTATTACCCCAAAAGCCACTTTGGTATTTTTCTCTTAGCATTTACTACACACTGTGCTGTGATTATCTGCCTGTCCAATTACACTGTGAGTAACGTGGAAGACCAGGTGCACTTGGACCAGAGCAGTCCCCAAGAATTTCTTAAATTTTTCTTATAATTTCTATGACTTTTTGCATATCCTACTCGCTTATGAGTTTCAATCCATATATCCATTTTGGAATCTACTAAATATCAGGATTTATTACCACTACAGCAAGTCCCTAACTTACAAACAAATTCCATTCTGGGAGAACAGTTGTAAGTCAGATTCATTTGTAAATCCCACAATGTGGGTCTTATATACCTTTGACACAAATATGCCATGTAAAGCATAAAAAAACCAAATACACACAAATACTGTAAATATACTACTTTTACTTTTACAGTTACTTTATAATGGTAAGGTAGACATGTTAGCTACTTATGCAATTTGTTCACCTCTAGGAATGTTCCTAATGTAAGGTCCAATCCTACCTGTGAAAGTTCACAACTTGAATGTTGTAAGTCGAGGGCTCACTGTGTATCATTTCTTTTGTATTAAATTCTTTTACTGGTACATTGTAGGTATACAACACAATTACATTTCTCACTGGGAATTGTACCTTTATATAATGCATCTTGGTT